ATACATACATACATACATACATACATACATACATACATACATACATACATACATATGTACATAAATACGATCGTTAGGACCGCGAGCCAGACAGCCTGGTCAACGGATCGGAGTTGGGCCACTTGCCGGCCCGGAACCACTGACGTCCAGGCTTCACACCCCCTCTTTCACACCCAAACCACACTCTACCCACAGTCCGGCCCACCTTCCTTCCGGAGCTTGGTCGTCTCGGAGGTCAGCTTGGCTGAGTCGATGCAACCGGGGCCGACTGGAGTTTGTCACTCTTTCCAGTGACTTTCCGTCCACCATCGGCAGCATGCATCATCCGTCGACGAGGTCGGACGTAATGCAGACGGTCAAACCAGTTGCTGAGCTCTTGGGTACAGCACAGGTCGACTGGCGCCCCCTCCCAGTTTTGCGGCTTGAGGGTGTGCCTTTTGGTAGCAGGCACTCGGTGAGGAGTGCGATCGCTTCAGCCGTCCTCGCCTACATTCGCAGCTCCCACTTCAGGCGATCCGATGGTACAGGATCAGACGAGAAAAATTGCTCAAGCGGATCACGCAGAAGATGGCATTTCCCATTTGAATAGTTTCACTCAGTCCCGATTGGTTTGGATGATGAATGATTAAGGGTTGAATGTTACAACAATTATGTGAATAGAGGTTGTTTGACCTTGTTTTCACAACATGGTCATGTTGGTAGGAAGACTTCGAGGAGTGCAACTAGTCCGGAGTCCATTTCCAAAGTCGGACCGTGGACGTGGTACATTCCCAAACGTTTCTCCGGCATCGTAGTCGGCATCGTCAGTGCGTATCGCCATTCTTAGCACCACACAACAACTCGTCAAAGAGACAAGTGAAGCCGATCCCTTGACGAAATGTGTGCTAAACAATTGTGGTATCTGCCTTTCTGCCCTGGGTGCTAAGAATGACGATACTCATTGATGATGCCGGCGATACGTTTGGGAATATACTCCGTCCACGGTCCGAGTCTGGATATTAGCATGCATACAAAGTACTCCGAACTAGGTCTTCCTAATAATATAACCAAGTTGTAAAAACAAGATCAAACAACTAAGAAATGCTTATGCTTGATTGATCGATTGAAGGAGGGATAGAATGTTGATTCCCTGTCCAAAAGAAGGTGACGCAACTTGTCAGCTTGCTGATGGTTCTAACTTCACTCACACTCGTCCAACATGTTAGATAAAAGTTGTTTGACCTTGTTTTCGCAAC